TCAATGCTACTTTCTCTCGGGTTAGGTGTTTTTGAGACCAGTTGGACCCAGAAACACGTCACAACTTATTAACAGCTCTATATACCTGTACACTCATATTAATCAATGCTACTTTCTCTCGGATGAGGTGTTTTTGAGACCAGTTGGACCCAGAAACACGTCACAACTTAACAGCTCTATATACCTGTACACTAGTACTGTATTAATCAATGCTACTTACTCTCGGGTTAGGTGTAAATTCTCTTCGTTTCCGTCTTGTTCTGCTATAACCAACTGTTAAGGGTTCAGACTCGTCTAGATCTGGGTCGCTTTCATGTTGCAAGAGCCATTCCATGGCTTGCATTGGTGACATTCTGTGGAACAGCAACAATGATGGTTCAATGAAATCTAGATTTCAATTTTTGTTGTTGTTTTTTCATTCTGTTTTGCTAGGTAATTAAGTTATAATAATGAAATACAGACTTCACCTGTGTATACGTAGTGCTTTCGTGGCTTTAGCCTCTGTAAATCCCATATCTGTAAACTGTTTTAGAATTTCCTATAAAGACAGAAACACCATGATTTGTGCATGATTTAAAACAGCCTTGAAGTGTGGGAGAGGTATTTTCAAAATTCTCCAATCATTCATTTCCAGGTTTGTGAAAGAGCATTTCAAATTCCAGAAATTTCACAGCCAGGAATTGGACCAGGGGTCAATACAATTAAGAAGAGAGTGGGAACATTCCTTACTGTTTCAAACTAGTACTTACTGGATTGACGGCGAATTCATCATCATCAATTCTCCCTATAAAGGATGAAGACAGGTTGATAAGATTTGATATGGTCATAAATATGATAGGTCTGGCAAAAAGGCACCATGGGGGTTGGCAGAACATGAAAGAAATGCTAGGAGAAGCATGATGCACAGCCACACCCAACAAAGTAATACCCCTTTGGAGCTGGGACAACTGATTCCATGACTGTTGATGGGCAAAAAGGCACCTTGGGGGTCGGCAGAACATGAAAGCGCTACAAGAAGCACAATGCACAGCACACCCAACAAAGTGATACCCCTTTGAAGCTGGGACAACTGATTCCATGACTGTTGATGGGCAAAAAGGCACCTTGGGGGTTGGCAGAACATGAAAGCACTAGGAGAAGCACGATGCACAGCCACTCCCAACAAAGTGATACCCCTTTGAAGCTGGGACAACTGATTCCATGACTGTTGATGGGCAAAAAGGCACCTTGGGGGTCGGCAGAACATGAAAGCGCTACGAGAAGCATGATGCACAGCCACTCCCAACAAAGTGATACCCCTTTGAAGCTGGGACAACTGATTCCATGACTGTTGATGGGCAAAAAGGCACCTTGGGGGTTGGCAGAACGTGAAAGCGCTACGAGAAGCACAATGCACAGCA